AATTAATGACAATTTTTCTTATTGATACTAGTCAAAAAATAAGGTTAAAAACATTTACTTATTAGTTTAAAGATAACAGTGAAGGAGACAAAAAAGATGTTTGGAAAATTAATGAAGCCATAAAAGTGGTTTTGAACAAATAGTCGCAAAAATTTAGAAAATGAAAACAGCGCAACGTCTGCTTTTCATAAAGTACATAGCAAATCAAAGAAGAATTATTTTTAAATTTTCACCTTCGATATGGTTGGGCTTAAAGCTGGCTTTTTTATTCTTCTAGCTATCTCTTCAGTAAGTTTTTATTGTTTTACTGTTAGTTTCATGAGCCAATTGATTAGAGGATATGATAAAAAAGAGAAAAAACAAGTCGAAAACACTTTTTTGATTGTGCTGTTAGTAGACGAACTCACGCTCGTATTTTGTAAGCTTATACTTTTAGATGTTGTAACACAAAAAAATAGACAAAGTATTTTAATCCTAAAAGAAAAAAAAATTTCTGTTCTGTCAGTTAGAACCCAAAAATTATGTCAATTTAAAACAACTACTATGTTGCTTTTTGCAAAACATTACAATTTTGCTAACTGCAGGCTTACGACATTCGAGTCGGATTACTGTTTCCACTTTTTAACCAAAACCTACTGGAGGATATTGGTTTTGCACAATCAGCTGGGGCCTTGAGTATTGCTGTAAAACTCTTACAGGAGCGCGACATTTTACCGGGTGCTGCTTTTAGGTATTGCAATAACGTTGTCTTCGTCAACTGCTGTTATCATATCTCTAGTTTATGATTTCTTAGATTCCTCTGGAATTTTTCGGAATGCAATGTCAGCGAATCGCTGGTATCAGCGGTTAGTTTTCTCAAAAATAGCAACATACATGTGATGATTGGTCCACCATGCAATGACGGTATGTTATAAAAAGCATACTATTCAGCTTAGCTGCAGCTTATTGTAGTTTGATATTTTTGGCTATTGTGAGCTACAGTATTATTCTTTTATCCATCATTGACAAATTGCTGCACCTGCAAGACGTCCTTATTCCGTAATTTTCATCGCAAAAAAAAAAAAGCTGCATAAAATATTTTCTGACTGATTATGGTCTATCAAGCCAAACTGGGCAGTACATATAAAAATTTCTTCAAAAGATTACTCTTCAATTCTGCTTATTGACCTGGCCAAAAACATCCCTGTTTCGTATGCAAAACTTCTCAGCTTTTCGCCAATAACTATACTTTTTGTTGAAATACCACAGAAAGAGTTTGAAAAAGCAGCCAAATGATTTTAATACCCAGGAATTTTGTTAAATGCAGGGCAATTTTTCAATGACATTTCTGTTTGGTTCAAAGTTCAAACTTCAGAGTCAGGGAAGTTCTATGGAAGTCACCAATTTTTTGAATTTTTAAGAGAAAACATAACGGTACATGTTAACGGTTTCAAGAATGCTCAAACATTATTTTTATACTTTGTAGAAGCTAAGGCTGTTGGGCATCTTCTTGGTTTCTACAACATTCCAATTATTCTTTGGGGTGTAGCCACTGCTTCAGTGTTTAACGAACTTGAAACCTATCCAACGTTGGCTACGACAGTTGGTGTTACAAAAGCGTAAATGATTGCCCTATTTTTGCTTTTCTTCCTTAGTTTTCTTTGAAACACTTCGCCTTAAAATTTCCTTACGGAATTCTTTTGCTATTTCTTACTATATCAAAACAGCCCTGAACAAAATTCTTTTGTACTACAGTCAATCTGTAACTGTAACGAGTGTTTTTTTTACGATTTATTATTGATTACACTTGTAAAAATTGAATTTGTTGACACAGAAAAAGTTTCGATAATATTTGTTTGTTAATCGACAACTGTTTTAACGTGTTTAAAGAAGCGAATTTTGCTAGGCTGCTTGCTACAGTATTCCAAAATTCAAAAAAAATCAATTTATTTTAAAAAAAAATTGGCTGAAGTGGTATCAGACATTAAATCGAGTTTTAGTCTTGCGATTGCCCTTCATGGTGTTTGCCAGGAGTACAACTGGAGTGAAATTGGGATTTTTTATGCGGATAACTCGCCCTCTAAATGCGAAGTATTTGTTAGTGACCTCACCGTACGTTGTTTTCTGAGCTAGCACAGTTTTATTCAAAATATTCTTCTGTAGTAGCTTAAACTTAATAAGTTCAGCGGTATCTTTTCTACACGAATAAATATTTGGTCACAGTCACTACAGTAGTTCGTGTGACTCAGCTGAATAAACGAGGTGTTAAGGAAGGACTGCAAAAGCTTGATAAGTATGCTAGAAGTAAGTATAATTGCGCTACATCGTCTGTTCTCCTCATTTCTCTTACCACTGGTTTCTTTCTTTAGATGTTCTTATAATGTGAAATAACTTCTATAATACATAGTGAAATAACTTTTAAACTATGAGCAATGATTTCCGTAAGACAGCGCCCAAATATAAAAACTTCGATATTTTATTCGTAGTAAGCCACTACGAAAAAAATTAATAGGTATTTCCACTTTCAATTAACGTTTATTAAAAAAAAAAATAACTTATCAGTCGCATTACTTATAAAACTGTAATAAGCCTATAATGCGTTTAGTAATTTTGGTGTGCATACGTCAAGACAGACTAAAACAGAGCTTTTATATGGCTGCTAAAGAACTGAGTATGGTTAATGAACAATATGTGTACATATTTTTGGAGAACCGCAGGCTTGGATTTGGTATGTAATTGAGTTTTCCGTTTTGCTGTGTTTAGGACAGCGTTATATGCATTAAAGCCCTCATTTTTTCAGCCCTCATTACCTTCTCATTCGTCGTCATGTTTTATAAAACTCTTTCAACTCTTTCAGGAATGCGACAAGGCCCAGCTGTTGTGCCACTTTGGTATCCAGTTTCTGATAATGACAAGAAAGAAGCAATTTTTGAAGCAGCGAAACACTCGTTTGTTGTAAGTCAGGAGATTATAGATTACTTGTCCAATAGCATTTTACAGAAAGAGCAGTAATTTTAAAATAAAAAGACGGCTAATATGGAATAAAGAAAATGTTATGGCTCTTCCCTAATTATCTCATACACCTACTAAAGCTGCACCGTTTATAAGGAAATAATCAAAAGTTCAACTCAATATCATTGTCTTCTTGGTAAGAAACTCAAAACTGAGGGCTGTTAAACCTAACGCACTTTTCAAGGCTGCTATTCCTGCGGGCTTTTTTTACATTCAAGAGTTTCTGTTTAACATTGAAACGTAAAAGAGAATGTTTATATCGTAGACATTACCAACGGGGACAGAAAAGCTGCGAAGTATGCAAAAAAGAAGAAAGGATTTTGTAATTCAGAACTTACGATTATTTTTCGAATTCACAAGGTTACTGTCAAGGCAAACCAAATAATTTTATCATTAAGTGCAGTTGTGCCATAGCTGCACTTTTAAAACAATTTATTGTAAATTTTCTGAATGTAAAAAAAGGCTTGGTAAAACTAAAAGCTTGTAAATCAGAATAATAATGACTGCTGCAATGACAAAAATGTCTTAATCAAGCTCTTGAAAAATACAAGATAAGGTACCATTCTAAAAAAACAGATTATTGTCAACCAATTTTTTTATTATTTTTAAGTTTCTCGCACAATCTGCATCCCGCTTCTGCAGTCGTATAAAACAGTCAAACTTTAAGTGACTATTCTGATTTTATCTTAGCTTCAGAAACTTTTTTAGGATCGACATTTACTAGCTATAAAAGGCTACGTTGATGAAAGTTTTTGAAAAAGTTGGTGAGCAACAAAGGGCTTAAGCATCACTTAGAATTTGATGTGATTAACTATCAGAGTTGTAACTTTTTAGAAGCCTAGTATATCCTGAAAAGAGAAATTGAGTATTATTTCGAGGTTTACCAACCGTTTTGCAGATTATTCATTTAAAGAGAGAATAATTTTATTTACTAGTGTGATATATGACTGTTAAACAGTGAAAAAGTAATGTTAAGAGCTGCTCTAGAGAAAAACCAGCTGTCAGCTACCTTCCTCTCACTTTTTGCATCACCTGCCTTTACTTTCTGAGTGACAAATGAGACACATACTGTAAAATGAAAATTTTCACCAGATAAATTTTCTTATAAAAAATTGTTTTCAGATAGATTTAAGACCTGAGGATTTGGATGTCTTGGAAAACTTTAACAGAGAAGTTGAGGAAGCGGTTAAAGATTGGCCATTTTATTGTGGCCTTGAATGTGCTGGTACAAACAACACTGTAAGTCACGTTGTACCACTGTTTTCAAATTTTTTTATGTTTTTATTTTGTTTTGCTACTTTTTGATTTTGTTTTGTAACTTTGTAGAAAAAGTATGTAAGATTATTTTCATGCTAACCTTTGTTACGTTTTTTAGGCATCAAATTTCGCTAAAACTCTCGCTGAAGCTTTGCTGCTTTATGCTAATGTGTTGAATCATACATTGAAAACTCATCCTAAAAATGGGCTTGGAAACGGCAAATTGTTCATGCAGCACACAAGAATAACTTTTTTAGGTAAAAGAAACGAAAAATAGCTTGTCAAATTATTGAGTTTTATTTTTTTCTGTTTAGGTGTTTCTGACGAACCGATTCTTGTAGCTCGTAACGGGACAGTTAATCCTGTCGTGGTTTTTAGAGGTTTACTGCCCAACAGCACAGCAAATCAGTCATTCTTCTTCAACTACCTAACATTTAAATTCAATGGGCGCATATATGTAAAATGCAGCTCCAATAATTTTTTTCATCTCAATTTTTCCAACAGTAGTTAACAAATTCCTAGTTTTGAGCATATAATGACAAAATTATTAATTACATCTTTTTGAAAACTAAAAGACATCTTTTTGATTTGTCAAGAGATAAACATCAGTTTCTCAAAGTTTTTTAGGTAAAAAAAAAGCCTAATTTTACTGAAGAGGAAATATGGCACTTTTGGGGTGGAGCGGTACCTCTATCAACTCCAATATGCGGCTTTTCCAATGAACTTTGTCGAGTGTCATCGTGGGATCGTTTTAAGAAACTGTTGATTGTAGGCATACTATTAGTAGTAACGCTTATAATCGCTCTGTTAATCTCCATCTACTGTCTTTTCCGGTTACTTTCTTACTCACCAAATAATGATTTGTAATCTTTCCTTTTCAATTAAACTTTCTTACGAATTAAGCAGAAAGCTGCTTAAAAAATTTTTAACACGCTGTACGTTAGCTTTTTTTTGTTTAGAAGTTATCAGCTGGAGGTGGCAGAGTTGAACTCTCGCTGGAAAATTTCATACTCCAAGTTGACTCCTCATAATATTTTCAATAAGGTTTTTGCTCTGATAACTTTAATGAGGATAAGAAAATAGGAAATTATCTAGCTATTCATTGATGAATTAACTATTTTTCAAATTGCTAATCTTAGCTGAAATTTCTAAGTGCAGCAGCTAAAATAGCAGTCAAAAAAAGTAAAAAACTTTTAAAAACAACATACAACTTCTAAGTTTTGCTCTAGTTAATTCATTTTTCGCGGCAGGCGATCTTACAGAAGAATTTTTTATTTGCTTTCAAACAGTAATCTAACGTGTCACACTTTCAGAGTGTTTTGGAAATCTATGACTACTCTCCAAACTCATCTATCTCTAGCAAACCTTCAAGAAGTTTATTGGCGACATTTTCTTCTACAAATTACGAGCTTTATGACCTAAAATGTGAAAGCGGTGGAAGTTTTACTGTGGTTGGGAGGAAGTACAACTGGATTAACAGCTACGACAAAAGAGATTATATGGAGCTTAAAAATGTTAGTTGCATTGAAGACTAAAGTAATAAACAATTAAATTTTGTCTCTTCTTTACCTTTTTCTCTGCAGCTACTCAATTTACAAATAATAGTTTTTTAGAAATTCAAAAGTTAATAAATTTTGACCGAGAAAAGATGTTTCTTTTCTAAGTAAAAACTATAATATCTCAAGAAACTCTGAAATTATTAGACGATTGGTTCTTTTCAAAAAATAATTACTCAAAGATAGCATTTACCAGTTGCAATTCTCGTTTTTTTTTTTTTATAAAAATCTCTTCTCAAAAAGCAATAAAGTTTCGAAACAGCGTTCAGTTTTTGAAAAAATTAAATAGTTAAAGAATTGAAAACACTAGATTCGGACTAGATTGATATGAAACGACAAACGTGAAGAGTTTGAGTAAAAAGCTGGTCATAATTTTACAGAATTTAACACATTGAAGTAATGCTATAAGACTATCTCACCCTTGATTCAGCACCGTCTCAACAGCTTAGTGAAAGCAAATTCAAAACCAGTAAATTTTTTGTTGATCTGTAAACAGTACCGTCAGCAAATGATCAGTTGCATTTTTGACTAAATACGAAAGGATTGGTTTTTTTCAAAGAAACAGTTGATTTAAGCCGAGGATAAATTTTACCTACTCAATCACGATTTGTTTTATTTCTTTCCCCCAACTGTGTAGAGAAGCAGCCTTGTCCTGTTATATTTCTATTTCACTTTTGACTGCTTTAGATGGTAAAAGTTAGAGAAGTCGAGAATTTAAACAGATTTTTTGGGCTTTCTGAGGATGGGCTAAGAACATTAGCACTATGGAAGTATTGTCAACGGGGAAGCTTATTGGTAATATTACTGAATGTTCTTGAAAATTCCTAAACTTTTCTTTTACGCTAGTTAATACAGTTTTATTTTGACTTAAATTCAAAAAGTTGTCTGACCAAAATTTGTTAGAGAAATTTTAGGACTTAATAGCACAGAACAAATTAGTTGATGATCAGTCTATTCTGCTCTTGATGATTAAAGAAATTGCAGAAGTGAGTTTCTTACATTGTGCTGAAATGTTTTAGCTGATGCTTTGCATTATCGTTGTCTATTTCAATAATAGAATAATTTTCTCTCTAATTTTCCTCACTGGTGTCGCTTAAGTTGTTTGATATCTGAAAGAAATTTTATTTTTGAGGCGCTTCAAGCAGTGCACTCGTCACCGCTTAAATTTCATGGACATTTAACGTCAAAAAACTGTTTGTTAACAGCTGATTGGAAATTAAAAATTGGCGATTACGGTTTAACAAAATTTCGATCTAGCATTAATTACTCCGCTTCAGGTTTGTTTGTTCAAAAAATTTTTATGAAATAGAAATCTGTGTTATTGTAAGTGACTTAAATAGTTTATCAAATTTGATATAAGCTCTAAACGCAGCACTTTTAAATTTTTGGTTTAGAACTGTTATGGACAGCACCAGAAGTGTTACGCCTGTCGAGAGGCTTTAGTCGAGATCCCAAAGTGGACATCTACAGTTATGCAATTATATGTTCAGAAGTTCTAACACGAAAATCGCCGTGGGATTTAGAAAATAGAAAAGAAACAGCTGAAGGTATTGGCTTATTTTACCTCAGTAATAACTCCAATTATGTAATGAAAAAGGTCAGACAATTTAGAGGATCTTTTACCAACGATTTATTTACTTTACATTAATATAGCAATACAATTTTTTGAGGTGTCTTGGCAACAGTGCGTATTTCTTGAGCTTTATGTCGCTTAAGTTATAAATAAATAACTGATAAGAAAGTAACTCATGTGTATAGAACATCAATATATACATGTTTTATACATTAATGTTAGTAAACTGTTTAATGCAGAAAAAGAAATTGCCAATTAGTAATTACCAGGATCTCTTCACTGTAAATGTCGTTTGGCAAAGCCGGAGTAGGTAAAAATAGTAAAAAAAAGTTTGAAAAGTCGAACTTTTACAAAGTTTATACTATTATGGCTCTTGAAAAGAATTGTCTGTATTTAATATTAGTTCGAAAACGAAATTTATTATAGTAAAAGAGAAATATCATGCTTTTAGTGAGCGAAACTTCTACGTATTTCTTAAAATATGATAAATAAGAAAAATTTTTTAAAGAGATTATAATACTGCTGAAAATGCGTACCAATCCTTCGCTGAGACCATCGCTCAATTTAGAAAATAAAACCAAAGTGAAACCGGAGTTGGTAAAATTTTTTATATATATTTATTTTTAAATGAAATAACGGCTCAATGCTAGTTTTAAAAAATTAGCTTATTTACTTCTTATCTGTTTGAATTTGCTCTAGTTTAACCCTACATTGTTTCAGTGTTCTTGCTTAATTTATCTTAGTAGTTTTTTATTATACGTTTGAAAATTATGCGAAAGAAAACAAAAGAAGATAAGTTAGGAAAGTGTTAAGCTTAATAAAGCTGCTCTCTTTAACTCAAAAAAAAAAATTTATTTTTTGAAATTGTCTGTTAAGAAAGTATTCGGAAACTTCAGATACACTTGGTGCACGATTGTTGGGCAGACGAAGCACATTGTCGTCCTGATATTAATTTTATTTGTAAAACATTACGGGCAATGATTGAGGAGGAGTAAGTTTTTGTACTACACTTTTATAAACATATGTAAGCATTGTTTCGTACTGTCTAGCATTGTCTTTTACCTGTTAAATATTAAATTTTCCAGAAAAGAAAATTTAATGGATCGAGCATCAAAAGTTTTAGAAACCTATGCAGAAGAGTTAGAAACGAAGGTTGAAGACCGAACGCACGAACTTGCTGAAGAGAAAAAACGAAGTGACATTGTTTTGCAGAGAATGTTGCCAAAGTTAGCAAAACGTTCACTGCAGTTTACTGCAGTAATCGCTTTTTTTGTTCAGTAGTCGTTCTTCGTTCAAATGTTTATGTTTATTGCTTTAGAAAAATTGTTGACTGCTTAAAAAATGGAAACCAGTGTCAACCTGAAACTTTTGAGAGTGCCACTTTATTTCTCTCTGACATCGTATCTTTTGCAAAATTAGCTGCCAAATGCACTCCGTTACAGGTAATAATTTTTGCGGGCTTAAGAAGTGATTATTTTTGTTTCGAAGAACTTTAAACTGGTCAGTATTTCTGAAGGAAACATTTTAGGTAGTTGGTTTGTTAGATAGCATTTACGTCAAGATGGATTTGATCATCGGTGAATATGATATTTACAAGGTAAGCATTATTTTTCAAATAATTCTTGCAAGTCACTTAAAGAGCTTCATTTTTATGAGAATTATCTCTTTATAGATTTTAACATAAAGGCGTCAGTTTTGCTAGTTTACCAGAAATGTTTTTGTTTCAATTTTGTGAAAAAAGTGAAAGAAATGAACAAAGTCTGCATCAATGAGTTTACAAACTTACACAGCGCGCATAAAAAGTTATAATTTTTTGCACTTTAGTCAAATTTTGAGATAAATTATGTTTTGTAGGCAGTATAGTAGAGCATGTAATACAGTAAACGTTTTTCATAGTGGAATGTAGTTCAATAAATAAAATTTGAGCATTTTAGGTTGACACATTTGGTGGCGGTTACCTTTGCGTTTCTGGACTGCCGGAAACTAATGAAAATCGTCATGTGAAAGAAATAGCAGACATGGCTATTCGGTTAGTAAGTACAATGGAAAACTTCAAAATAAACTATTTACCGGAAGAACACGTAGAAATACGAATTGGCATCCACACAGGTATTTGACAATTACCTCTTGAAACCACTGTAGTAGTCGCACAGATGTATAGATGTATGTGAAAATTATCTGAACGACTTTCTGATTTTGTCATCTATTTTTATTTGATCAACCTTAACCATTAAGAAAATGTCCTAAAGCAATTAACACTTGTAAAATAATTGTTGATGAAGTGATAAAATTGCCAGGTTTTTTAACCGCTGGAGTGATTGGTGTAACAATGCCTCGGTACTGTGTGTTTGGAGACAGTGTCGCTGTTGTTTCTACATTGGAAAAAAGTGGCAAAGGTAAAATCTTTTCAATTTGTCACGTCAAATCACAAACAAACTGACCTATAAAGCACAGTTTAGGGAACCAAATTCATATATCAAGCGCGACATATAGTATGCTGAAAGATAATTTCGGTGGTTATTTATATGAAAAAAGAGGAGAGATTGTTTTGAAGGTATTCTTTAAAAATGATAAATTTGCTCAACACTGTTTCTAGAAAACGTTTGTTTTAATCAAAATTCAAGAAAGTAATAAATGAAAATGTTTTGTACTCATGTATCTTGAATTTTACGGCCGAAGAATACATGCATATGTTAGGAAAACTCTCTCTTATCTCATATTTCGCAATTTTGAATTATTAAGTATTTTTTGCGTTATTCAAAGAAAATGATAGTTTTGCAGCAAAGAAAAAAGATGTTCTGCAGAAGTGAAGTTACTCTTAAAAATTGAGATAACTGTCACAAGTTCTTTTTTGTTTTTGATATTAAAAAAATGAATGCGATGAGATAGAAGGGAAGATTAAGTAACCGTATAATTTGTTCTATTACCTAAATTCTTCTAGCTATTACCAGCTGTTATTGCTGTTTAGAAGATCGGTAACATGGAAACTTATTGGCTACTTGGATATTCAAATTCACCTTCAAAAGCTCCAGAAGAAAATCATGTTAAAGGGGCTATGTATTACAAGTACAGGGACGACAAAGGTGCTCAAATTGCTTAGACGAATGAAGAGAAGATTATAGCTTGAATTGCTATTAAGATGAATTAAACAACTTTTGATATCAATTTATGAGTAGCTGATTAACGCATCACATATGTTGCCTTTTTTAGCATTCAAAATTGGGTTTTTATTTTTACATTCAAAAAATTTGCAGATTTTTTTACATATTTGCTGAAAAAAACTGATATGGTCATTTTATGCTCATAATCTTTTGTATGTACAATTTTACTCGTATTCTGTTATACTATTTGTGCTGATCAAAAAGGTTATTAAAAATGGTTTGTAGAAAGAAATTCAGAACTATACTGCTAAAAGACAAGTGTTTTTTTCAGAAGCAATAATTGCTCAATAAAAGCTTCTTTTTTTTTTTTTGCATTACGACGTTTAGTAAACCAATAAATTTGATTAGACTTTTCAGAAACTCTGATTATGAAGGTAAGAGAATGATTTGTTAACTTTATCTTTTTGAACGTAAAGATTACACATCTGCTTCGTTGACAGTATTACCAATGCATTCTCTTAGGTTTTTTATATTAAAGGTGCTGATCAACATTAGCTGCGTATTTGTAGGTATTTTTTGCTGCGTCAAAAATACTAGTTTTACTGCAGGTACCCTAAGCAGTATAGTGCTAGATGCTCACCGCTATTTAATTTCTAGAATAAGAATTAATTTGTGAGTGCAGTTCTTATGTTTACGAGCAGAAAGATCGTAATCATTCAAACAGTTTATCTTTGGTCAAGATTTCTTCTAAAAGTTTTGCACATTGAGCTTAAAAATTCTGCTTAGATAACAAAAATGACGCCGCAAAATAGAACAGTTCTCAAGACAGAACAGAGGAAGAATAAATCTATTTTTTCCTGATCTTTTCCAGTTTATTGCTTGCCTTTCTTGTATACTGTCGTATTCGGGACGAGAGGGGAGAGAAAAAGTGGAGAATGGCTAATAAGTAACGTTAAATTGTTTGCTACGGTAAATAGAAGATTTATCAGTGGTAAAGGAGTACTATCAACCATGCTTTTCACTTTGGCATCACCAGTGCTTGGTTTTACAACGTTCTTTGACACGATTGTATTTATAAGTCTACTTCGATTACCTAAAGTTTGGGAAACAGTAAAGCTTGAGACTTTTAAAGAACCTTTACTGAACTCTGCTTTAGCATGTTGAGTATACAGCAACATTCAAGATAACTGTTTGTAGATTACTTTAATTTTTTGCACTTTTTCCTAGTATTTACCAGAAATACATAAAAGAACTAAAAAGATTTTAAACAGCTGCAAAAAATTTTTAATTTTTTTTTATATAGTAAAATTATAGCACATTATAGTAAAATCTGTCTAATAAGAGCAGCTTTACTGCTTCAGTACAGTTTCTGACTGTTAAATGAATTCAGTACTAAATTTTAAATGTTACTAAGCCTTGTTGCTATTTTTTCCTTCTTTAGTTACTTTTTAACAACTGTATTCCAAAAATTTGAACTAATCGCTCACTATGGAAGAAAGTTGAACTGAGACTTCCTGGTAAAGCAATTGTAACTACTAATCTTAGATCGTTGAAGTGGTATGGGAAAGAATGATAGTTTAGTGGTAGTGTAGTGTGCAAAATTGGTAAATTGAAAAAAAAACTTCTGTTTACGTTTTACCAATAATCAGTTGAAGTTAGATACCAAATCAAATAGTTATTTTGCGTAATTTTCATGAATTCTCAAAATCTGTGCGAAAAACTGCTGTTTGTATAACTCTGCGTGCTAAAAGTGCTGTAGCAAACTATAGTGCGGAATTTTAGAGGAAAAAGCACTAGCTTTTTTTTGCTACTTTTCTTTTTTTCGATTTTATCAGCAGGTGAAAAGTTTTGTTGTTAACTTACTTTTCCGGAACTGGAAAATTAAGATGAGAAGAGAGCGTAAAGAATAAAAAAACCTAGTCAGCATTAACTTATAAGCAAATTTCTTTGTCAATGTAACAGCAGATAAAAACCGTAGCCTAAAAATTCTCATTACTTTGTTTTGACTGATACGACGACACCGTACTATAGTGACTTCAATTTCTCGCTTAGTTTATGCTGAAAAGCCTTAGTTAGTGGTGTCTGAACTGTTGAATGAAATGTGTTTTACAGAGCAAAAATTATATTAGAGCTGAAGCAATGTAATTGTTAGTGTTCGTTCAATTCAAAAAATTTTTTCGCATTGCTGTGATAAAAAATCTTTTCTTTATTAAAAAAGCGTGATTGAAGCCAGCAAAATAAAAAAGAAGTGGCAGGTTTAGCAAATTTGAAGCTAATTTTCAGCAGGTATGGTTTCTTCCTTTAACATAAAAAACTTTAGGTTTAACCTACAAGTTAGTGTATTCTCAAGCGTACAACTAGTTTAAAAGAATTAATGTTTGCCAAGCAATCTTTTTTTGTTAAAAAAAGAAAATTTTTCTAAACCGCAAAAAATGTAGTTTTGATAAGGGAAGGTATAGGCAGCGAATTTGCAGAGTACGTTCAGAAGTAAGTTTTTATAGCAAGAAAATGTTTTATAGCTCAATAGGAATGTTTTTTTAGATTGTTTTCATTTGACTAAAAATTAGGCAGAAATTTGTATGAGAACATTTTGGTTGTTGACATATAAACGTTTTACAATAAAGCATTTTCTGTCACCAAACACTTTTAAATTGAATTTAAAATAGTTTAAAGCAAAAAAATCAGCAAATAGCAAATAACTAGTGGTGACTTGAATAATTAGCTAAACTAACACCTGATACGCGTAACCACTGGCTTATAAACCTTTTTTTCAACTTTTTTGAAATAAGTCTATAGCTTATATTTATTGTGGGTGTTTTCTGTTCTTCAAAATTATTTTTTAAATGAAGAATACTTCCTTGAATACTGCAGTAAATCAGTGATAAAGATTTTATCGTGTAGATTCTTGAGATGAGAAGCTTTGTTTCTTACTTTGGTTGAGCATTTGAGATTTGGCCTAATTGTTTTCTACCTCTTCAGCCAATTCTTTGGTTAGAACTGTTCCTTCGAAAAAACAAAAATGAAAGTCAAGGATAAGAGAAGAATTAGCTGAATGGCAGCAAAATGATCAGATAAGCCAGAAAAATAAGAACAACAACAAAACGGCTTTTTTGACAATTTTTTTCTTACTGGCTTCAGTTAAGTCGCAAATGGTGTATTTGATCTTATAAAAGAAAATTAAATGAAGCCTCTGAAAAACTAAAGCAAACGGAAAAGCCGTTTTCAGTTGATTATGTAGACGTCCTACCAGCATGTATTGTGACAAATTGGTTACACTTTTTTTGCCAATTATCTTTACTGCAGTAATTATGATTGCCACTACCATTCAGGTAAACTGTAGCAATTCAGTTAGGTTTAAATATGTATTTTCATTATTAACAGTTTGAGTTTTAAAAATCTTCATTAAAAAACTCTTATTATCAAATATGTTACGCTCTATCTTCAGTTTTTTTCTTAAAAAATTGTTTAAAAGTTTTTGAATCACCAGTAGCAAACGCTAAAATTTTATTAGTTCAGAAAATAACATTTTTGGTTGAATCAGCAGAACGTTAGATCAATTTTGAATGAAAAAGTCTATATTCAAAATCAAGACAGGACTTAGTAAAAAATGACAAAAACGCTATTTCGTGCTTAGTCTTACTACTTATGATATACTATAAAGAGTTTGATGCTTTTTCGTTGAATAATAAGTAATATTTCTCTAGGGATATCAGGTTCGAATTGGGGTGGTTTTTCCAGTTACCACAGAAGTTCTAACCTATCAGACTGGTTTTGCTGAATCTGCTGGTGCTATTCCAATCGCAATAGAGAGATTACAAAGTCAAAATGTTTTACCCGGAGCAGAATTCAGGTAATAAATCGTCGATTAATCAAAAATTCTGTTAATGTACCTAACCGCAGTAATAATATATATACATGACAATTTAAAAGAAACAGTTAGAATTCTTGATTGCTATTTATAACTTGTATACAACTAATACTTCTGCAAGTAAAAAAAACAAAATTTTTTAAATTTATTTACTTTTTACGTTGAAGACGTTGTGTTATAGACGGTAATCTTAATATATTTAAAAAGTAACTTCACTTAGAAATTATTGTAGAGCCATGTCTCACAAAGTTTTCAAACGAAGTATCTATAAAGCTGCTTGATAAATGAGTGAATGGCAGTTTTTAAGCAGACTTTCGTTTGTTCAAAACGGCCTTATTTTAGATGACCCTGGTTTCTTTTTTGGCTGCGCCAGTGAAGCCATCTAAGATTAAGTTTTTCATACAACGAGTGTACTATCACTATTAGTAACAACAAACCTGAGAAATCATCTGACAGCTGTTGTTGAGACTCGTTTTTTCAAATCCGTCGACGTCTTTAGCTTTGTTTCGTCTAATTTTTTCTCATTTTTAAAGCTTCGTTTGGGAGTATTCTGAATGCGAAGCATATAAGGCCTTGGGACATGTAAATGACTTCGTCAGAGAAGGCAACATTAGTTTGATCGTCGGACCTCCCTGTAGTCAACGTACAGTTTTTTAAATTCAAAGTAGAATAGCAGTAAATCAGACTTTGTCAGAGGTTCAGCAAATTTTTAAGTTCTTTAATTTTTTAAACCTTGTTCAGCATTAGGCTATTCTGTGAAGTCTTGAATGACCAAAGATTATGATTTCAGCAGCGCAAGCTGTCGGTTTACTCGGTGGTTTTTTCAACTTTCCAGTATTTTTATGGGGACTCATACCATCATCTCTGTTCTTCACCAATAGATACCCAGTTGTAGCATCTCTAGCAGGGAATGCATACAGGTGTTTTCTAGAGTACATGTATTTTCAATTTTCTTTTTTGACTTTTTTTCTTCTCGTATACTGAATTTTATGGTCAAGTTTTTGTGGCTTTATGGCTCTGGGGGCTCCTAGCAACAGCTGTGATGAAACAGACTAAAAAACGTCACTCCCATAAAAAATGATATTGAAAAAATTGGATAAAATTCATCTGACAAGTAGAGTTTCAATATTTTTGCAATTTAGCCTGGGTCTGTCACTTTATGCATTATTACTGGAATTTCACTGGGACACTCTGGCACTTATATATGCTCCTGATAAAGCAAACAAATGTGAAACAATTATCGAAGAAGTTACCGTATGGCTTCCTTTTTTTGCACTGATTATGTCTAAAATAAAAAGATTTTTTTGTTTCACTGTTTCTTATTATAACCGAAATTTATGGTAAATTAAGGTTTTTTTAAAGAAGAACTTTGCGCTATTTTTTATTAGCAAATATTTTAGAAATCTTCTAAATTTTGTTAATTGATTAAGCCTCGCTTCTAATTAAAAAAACTAAAGAAGAATTCAGTCTATGTATCAAATCTTGCTAAACTTAAAAGTTTTACGAGTTTTGAGCAGCTAAATCATTCTTCTTTATTTCTCTGTTTTTTGGGTTAATAATTTCTTTTTATTTGCTTATTGAAGAAGTCAGTTATAAATTTGAATATAACTACCTTGTATTTCGGTTTTTAATGACATACAGTTGCCACTTTTTGGTCAATAAACTTTACAAACACAGAAAAACGAAATTTACCTTAAAAATTAGTAAAATTTATTTTTAAAAAGAAAAGAAAATAATTTATGAAAAATTTTTCGATTAAGGAAGTTTCCAGAAAAAACCTCAATGACGGAAAACAAGTCAGAGCTGCCGAAGTAAGTTTGGATGAGTGACTTCATTATACTTAAATGAAATTTTGTGTTTGAGCAGATCATTTAGTATATCTGTCGCGTATGTATAATGTTATCAAAAAGCTGCTCAAGTACAGAATTTCAACGAAATACAGCGAGACCGTTCATCTCAACTTCAACAAATATAAGTCTTGATTCCTGAAAATCTTCACTCCCAAATTTTTTCTGCATTATAATTGAAAATTTCCAATATAACAATGGTTTTGTTTTAGAGCTAAAATTATACTTTGCAGTAATTTCTTTCTCACGTTTGTGTTCCAGTTTATTATATGCCTTTTCTGTAAAAACCGTAGTGATTGAGTGTTATTCTAAATCTACAAAGAAAATTTGTTATTCGTACCCTAATTCGGTCAGTATCTTTCACAAGTAGAGCATCTGTAGTACCTAAAAAACTTATTTCAACAAAAAATGAAGATTTCTGAAGTTTTGTGAATTTTTGAAATTCACTTGACAAACGACTTTTATTGTAGTCTTTATGATATGAGTCTAAACTTTTCTAAACAGAAGAGTTTTAAAAAGACATCAAATAAAAAGATGCGCTTTTATTTGTGCTCAGTACTTGCTCTGCTTCATAGCAGACTAGATAAAAGTGGAGCGTTTTAAAAAAGAAAAAATACTTAACAAATATTTGGTTCTCTAAACCGTTTAACGGCTTCTCACTGTAGTTAGATTTGAGCTCTATATTGCACCCAACGGTTTAAACAGAGTACAAAGCTAATTTTAAAAGTCGTAATGCAAATTTTGAAAACTTTAGAGCTGACTACATCTGTAACATTGAAATGATATAAAATTACCTTAGTCAATGCTATTATTTCAGAGCGCCCTTGCTAAAGTTCCATCAAAACTGACAATAGCAGCGCGTGAACGCCTGACCCGTGTTTCAGAAGAAATACTTCTTAGAGTTCTTCGAACGGTAAATCAGCGTGCCAGAGGTAGCAATAGTTACAATAGCCATCTAATTCAGTTGCATCTTAATCTATTTTGATTACACTTTTCAAGTTTCTCTTCGTGGTATGTTAGCTTATCTGTTTCCAATTTCACAGTCGTTTTGCTAAACTTTTTCTGACGATTTTCTACTTGGGTTTTTACAATTTCTTCTCTTTTCAACATATTTGCGATTTCATCTTGACCTTTCTTTCTAATTAGTAAAATTGACTTTCAACATGTAGATGAAAAAGACGTATTTAAAAGCAAAACTTAGAGAAAGATCAGGAAGAGTGATCATGGTACACCCAAAAAATATATTTGTGCGGCAGAGTCTGAAAAGTCAACAATAGCTAATATATATTTGCAAACAACGTTTTTCTGCCAAAGTTAAATAGTTAAAAAGTTGTTTTTAAAAAAAGCTTTTATTTTATTCCAGTAGGCAAAAACGTGTCAAACAAAATATTAGTGTTTACTTATTTTTAATAAAATTGTTCTAGTTAGCAGAAGAAAAAGTTTCTTCTTTTTTTTTTCCTAAGAGATATTACTTGAAAGACTTTGAAGAGAAGCTTTGGTAAAAGAAAAGATGCTTGAAGAAGACACTGAAGTAAGATATAATACCAATGGTTCTCAGGGCAGATTATTCATTTATTTAGATAAACACATAAATAATTTCTTTTTATTCTGTTTTTAGTGAAGACATTATGTCATTTTTCACTCATCGTCATATTAGATTGTAGCTGATTGGTTTTGTTGCATTTTCTACTAAATCTTTTAATTAACTTTTCTTCTTAACAACTGTCTTTTCTTTCTCAAATTTAAAATTTTAATTCTAGGATATCAAAACTGAGCTAAGAAATGACACCAGACCAAGATAAGCATCTTTAAGAAGTTTTATTTAGCTCTGCTTTTGAATTGTTGTCAACACTCACTGTGGTTTTATTTTCATGCTTTTCTCTTCAGACTTGTAGGTTTTTACTAAAAATTTGTTTCAGTTATTGCAGTATGCTTTCTCGTAGATGAAAATAAAAGAAAATTTTTGTTAGCTGCTCATAAATTGAATATGGACACGGAAGATTATGTTTACATACATCTCGAAAATCGTTTTCTTGGTTTTGGTAAGTTTCAATCAAGAGCAAGGCGTATTTTCAAAGTACTGTTTTTTATGGTCAGTAGTCTCTATTTTTAGCATCACCTTATAGAGGCGATAAAGTTCCGTTTTATCTGTATGACAATGAGACTGCTGCGTCTGAGAAGAATGTGAATACAACATATGCAGCTTTGCGTTCTTTTGTGGTAATAAATTGAAATAATTTAAAGCTATGTAAAAGCTACTGCTGTCTTTGTATCTGCACTTTAATTTACGCTTTTAAAGTGGTAATAAAAATAGTTTTTTTATATATTTATTTTCTGAGTTAGTTCATTTGTAATTTTCTAAAATTTTTTTGGAAGGCCTAAGCTGACAGTTACTCCAAAAAAATTTTTGCTGTTTCGAGCTATCAATTTTTCCACGTCACGTATAAGTACATCGCATTTGATTTAGTTTTGATTTTTAAAACTGAATGCAATGATAAGATGTATGTATGTGTGTAAATTGGTGTTACTGTTTTTTAAAACGATGTAAAAATTTACTCAAATTTGTGTTTAAAGTAATTAAAAATAATGATTCCTTAATTGGTTTCATAGATAAAATCGTTTTGCCTTTCAAAACTTTACATATTTTACTTTTTTACCTAGATTTTTCCAGAGCTGATTTAAGAACTAGTTAAAAAAACTTACCTGGTCAAATTAGAGCTTATCTTCATAGTGTAGTATACTTATTAAATACCATAGAATATTAAGAAAGCTTAGCTGCAGCTCGATTTCCAAGCAGGAGGTGATTTTGACGTAGAAGAGTTTGGCAATGAAGTCCTTCAAAGCATCCGCGGATGGCCATTTTACTGTTCCGCAATTTGTGACGATGCTTTTGGAAAGGTTGGTCATTTAAGTCAAAAGCAGGGAATTTAAGTGACATCAGATTGTTCAATATTTTCAGGCTCTGCATCATTGCTAATTTTTTAAACGGTGTAAGCATTTTAGACAAAATATAGCAGGTTACCAGCTGCAATGATGTAGCAATTTGCTTATTAATAGTTATAACTATCTCACTGTTATCGGAAGTAAGAAAGATTTTTGAATGATAAAGTGGTGTCGTTGCAACGCGCTAGAATCTCTTGTTTAGGGTTCTATTTATGCGCGAAACCTTTACGATACGATTGTGGTGTATGGTTACGCGCTTAATAAAACTATTACCAAACATTCAGTTTCTGCTGTTAATAACGGTCTTCTAATATTAGAAAATGTGCCTGGTATATATCAAAGTAAGAATTTCTTTGTCTTTCCTTAAAATGATTATAAACTTTATTTTGTCGCTGATGAAGTATAAGTAAGTTAACCAGAAATATACTTCTCTTTGCTTTGTTTCATTTCTCCAATTTATCCCTATTTGGCTTGAGGCATAGTCTCGCTTAAGACCCTACAAACTGCGTTATTTGTCAAATATGGTACACCAGAAAATAAGATACAGCAGCAATTATCGCAACGTGGTTTTGAGTTACTACAAATGTCAGTAGCGCTGTCAAAAACTTTTTTCATTTATTTGGCAGAATGTTTACAGAATACAGAATGGTAATTAAACTTTATGCGGTTTGATAAGAAGGATCTTGAGAAAAAAAGCTTTGATAAGGTGAATTTCTGATCGTTAGTTCGGGTCGCTTTTTGTTTTAGAAGAATTTTAAGCAGATAGTCTCTTAGTTTATCCTAAAAATAAGATTTCTTACGTAAAATATAAAAGAACTGGCTATTACCAAATTAAACTTTGATTGCCAAAACAATGACCTGCTTTTTAGGTTTTTTAAGCAATATTTTATATTAAAAGATGGTACTGACATTAAAGAGAGGGTTGTAAATTGACTAATTCAGCAGCTGAAAATCGCGAAATACGTATGAACGGGAATGGAATCTGGGACCCAGTTGTCGCTCTTACTGGTTTAGATGCAGAAGGGAAGCCCAGATCATTTATTACCATCAGGTTTGCGGAATACAACTTTGTAAGTTGTATAGTCAAAATATAACTTATTTTTGCTGTTCACTTTGACAGTTTTTCAGTGCTTATTTTTAAAGAGAAAATCTTATTTTGTAAAAGGTGTCTCCAGGTTTTACACATGCAAGCGTTCACAGCAATAATATTTACTTGAATTTTCTGATGGTAAAAATTAAGCTGCTGTGCGCTTTTTTTCAAATTTTGGAGAATTTTTTTGTGTTAAAAAAATTGCGGTTCAGACGGTGCAGAAAAATTACATAAACGAAGCTACTTCAATTTGGGCGACAAGAGGTGGTATTCGTCCAAAATCGGTACCTGATTGTGGATTTGCTGGAAACATGTGTTCGGCACCAATTTTTAAACAATATATTGGCCTTTTCGCACCAACAATTGCCCTAGGCTGCTTTCTGCTTATCTCTCTAATGGCTGCTAGCGTCTGCTTTATCAGGTTAGTCTGTGCTTTTCGGAAACGGTAAAAATGAACGGACTTTTTTGGTTTAGTGGTCTACTTTTTTTTCTGTCTTAGCTAAATTGGCATCTATAAAAGCTTTATCGAAAAAATATTTTTGAGTAACACGACTTACCCTAATGATGTTTAAGCAATAAGCAAAATGGTAAGTCTCGTGTTCACTTGCTTCTTCTCCTCCCAGTACAGGAGAGTTTCAAAAACTTTTCGTTCTTAATAAAAGCAGCTGATTTGTTCTTTGCATCTTTCCTTGAACGACGGCACTAGAGTTTCAGCACCCAGTTAGCTATGTTTGCAAAAGCAAGCAATTAGGCAAAATTAATTGATTCGTTTAGCGCTTTCAAAGATTTTAAAACTTATTAAACTTGACTCTCTTTTTGCTTCTTTCTTCACCTGGTCATCAGACTCTGGGGAGTCTGTACGAAAAGAGTGGCCAAAAACAAAACGGAACAGTTTGGTTACTGCTCTCTCTTCCAGCACACAACACTTAGTATCTTATTATTGCTAGGAGTGTTTTATACATATTTTTTACCGCCTGTGAGATTTCGAGCGATCACTTTGTTGCGACCATTAAAAATAAAGTAGACTGTAAAAGTTCTGTGAGAAGCTAATTTGCTCTGATCTTATTGTAAATAAAGATTAGGAGATATTCTTTTGCAGTAGAAATTGTATTTAATTTGCTCTTCAGAAACAAACGAAGAGAAAGAGAAGAACTGAACAAAAGGTGGCAAATTGATTTCAATGAATTGGTTGAAGTTTCTTTGAAGGTATCTAAAAATCTGTGCTAGTTTATAGATTTCAACATAAAAAGTTTTCTTTTGTATATTTCTGTCTTATATTTGCAATAGTTTTTTTCAGAGTACCAGCTTGGGAGCTAGTCACTCTCAGTCAGTTCTTTCCAACAGGCAGTTGAAAGAGTGTAGAGATACAGCTTCAAATTTAAAGTCTGCCAATTACTGTCTGTACCAATATAGCGACACTTTAGTAGTAGGTAGAAAGTATCGTAATGTGCCTCAGATCGATCTTTCTGACGAAGCGGAAATGAGAGTGGTAAGCAAGACAAATGGAAATAATGGAATATGCAAGCTGAATAGTTAACACTACATGTAGAGTGATTTTTGTATTTCTACGTAGATCTTCTTTGTTATTCTCATTTGCTGAAGACTTCTGAAGAAATTGATTTGATGTTATTATTACAAGGCCTAGCTCTTTCTTGAGTATAGTACGGGAATATGTATACGCACACTTTTTGCTAATATGTTTGTGATTTATACCAAATTTCGTTTTACGCCAGATGGTTTCAATTGAGACAGAGAATCTTAACCGCTTCTTTGGTTTGGCGGTAAACGGACAATGTACATATGCAGTTTGGAAAAACTGTAAGCATGGAAGTATAAGGGTAAGTATGAGGTAACAGTACATTTTGTTTCGCGCTGATTTTTCACTTTTGAGAGTATAAAAAAAACATTTTGTTAAAGACAGTTTTTCTAAATAAAATAAATAAACAACAACACTTTCAAGTAAGCAGTCTAACATGAAAAAGTACAAAGTAGTATTTCTCAAATGCGTACGGTTTCTTTTTTTGCAGGATAACATCAGAAATGCTAAACTAAACGTTGACAGCTTTTTTATGATGTGCCTCATCAAAGACATCATTAACGTTAGTTATATCAACGTCTTTTTTGCTACATTTTATGTTTTATTAGGTAAAGGAAAAAAAGAAACAGGGCATACTTAGCTTTTCTAGGGGCTCTGTTTTTTGCACAAGACGTCAATTGGTTGCCACGGTCATCTGACGTCAAAAAATTGTCTTTTGAATTCCAGTTGGCAGGTGGTGATCAGTGATTTTGGTTTATCTAAATTTTGGAACAACCAAAAACGTGATAAAGAAGGTTTGTTCAGTTAACTTGAGCTAAGGCAAAATTTTCAGATATTCTGCTTCGCAGTTGTGTAACAACCTTGGCATACCGTAATTACTTTTGAAACAGTGATGAGTGAATTGGCATAAAAGAAATGGTTTTTTTGGTATAAAAATTTGTTTAAGTCATACATTTTTCAGACATGTTATTTATGGCTCCAGAAATACTGCGTGACAATTCTCAGTTGGGAACTCAAAGCGGCGATATGTACAGTTTTGCAGTCGTTGCGTCGGAAATCTTGACGAGAAAGCCGGCTTGGGACCTCGATAACCGGGAGCAGACTGTTGAAGGTTTACCAGTGTAACTAGCTGTGTAAACAGTTCTTGACACTTCTTACTTAACTTTTGAAAACTGAAAAGATTCTGACGATTGTGTATAGCAAAGAAAAGTAGCTGACAGAGATTTTTTCTAGGTTTGCGTCTAGTCTCCGGAAAACAAATTCTTTTACTTTGTTTTTAGAATGCTCGTAACAATTTCAGTCTTTAAAACTTCAATAAGCTCTTTTTTCTAAAAATATTTTGTGAAAATTTCTTTATAATTGCCTTAAACTTTTTATCCAGATAGTTATATATAAATATTTTTAAAAGTATAGATTTAAGCATTTATTTTCAGAAATACTGTACCTTTTAAAACGCGGTCAAGAGCCTTTTCTTCGGCCCGAATTGAATATTGACAAAGACATTGAGCTCAATTCTGTTATGGTAATTTTTCAGCCTGTATAAGAATTGCTTTTAAGAGTCCAAAAAAAAAAAACAAAAAATTTACATATTGTCTTTAGAGTTGATGCTGTTTTTTTTCATTGAATAACAAACACAAAATAGCAAAAGAAAAAATGACCATAAACTATTGAAAATTGCTAATTAATAAATTAAAAGTGCAGAAATGAGAAAATAATATTTATATTACGACTGCTGATGTAATAGAATAGTTTTTAGTTGCACTTAATTGGTGATTGCTGGCAAGAAAACTATGAAGCTCGTCCAGATGCTGAAACTATAAAAAGGTTACTGCGTTCAATGAGAAGGGGAAGGTATTTTTAAAGGATAACGTGATACATAATGATAACAGTTTGTTGACACATTACCTTGCTTGTTTTTGACGTTTTCAGATCTAAAGATCTTATGGAACATGTGTCTTCGTTGATGGAAAAACAGGCCGCAGCACTGGAGGAAGAAATTTTAATTAGAACCAATGCTTTGGCTGAAGAAAAGAAGAAAAGTGATGAAGTGTTAAAAAAAATGCTTCCACCGTCAGTTTTGGGCGATAAATATGCTAGCATTTGACATACCTGAGTGTTTCAAAAAACTTTTATTACACGATAAGAAGAAAGTAAAACCGCATTCCTAGTTATTTATCTGTTATGCAAAGTCCAATTTGATCTTTTTCTTTTTGACCGATCCAGCTTTGAACGTATAAAGTTCTATCCAAAATATCCTTGCTATCAAGAATCAAGAACTCATCGAACAATCTATTTAACTTATTTGGCTATTAAACGCTCCATACTTTTCTAGGCGAGTAGCTGAATGCTTGAAGCTGGGAGAAGTATTACAGCCAGAATCATACGAATGCGCAACAATCTTTTTGTCTGATGTTGTCTCATTTACTAAACTGGCTAGTAAATGCACTCCTTTGCAGGTAAAACTTTAGAATTAGAAAAAGAAAAAGTTATAGAAATAATAGCGGTTTTAAATAAATGCATTTGGAGGCCAAATAACTGTTTTAAAGATCGTTTGTAGAAGACCATGTTCAGTTTTAGGTTATATCTTTGCTGGACAGTTTGTATATGACAACTGATATGGCTATTAAAAATTACGACATTTTTAAGGTAGCTTTCAATTTTATCACAAACTATGCTCTCTGGTCTCACCTACTGTCCTCAGCGGCACACAGCGAACAAAGTCCAAATAACTTTGGGTTTTTACGGTGCTTTTGTGTGACAGTTTGGTTTTGTGCCAGAAAACAAAGTCAAAATAATTGCATTTTTGAGCAGAATATTTGCAGAAAGGAGGTTCTATAGGAAGCTATTAAGAATAAGTTTCTAGAAGCCAGTCGGAAGAGTATTATTAACAGTAAAATCACGTTCTTTTTATTTTATTTTTTTTTTGATTGACTTAAAATGAATTATAACTTAGGTAGAAACTATTGGCGATGCATACTTGTGTGTTTCGGGTGTACCCGAAAGGAATGGAAATCGACATGCAAAGGAAATTGCCGATATGGCACTTGACGTTATAAGAGCAACGGGCAAGATAAGAATTAATCATTTACCAGAAGAAAAAATTTGCTTACGTGTTGGGATTCATTCAGGTATCTTAATACTGTATTAAGCTGAATTTTCAATTACAGTCTTTCAAACTTCCTCTTCAATGCCAACTTTTTAGGCGTAACTTCTTTCTGTTTCACCAAGTTAAACATTATTACGTAATGACATATAAAAGTGAAAGAAATAAACAATGGTGATTAAGAAAGTCTATTTCTTAATCGAATTTTACTGGTATATGAAAACTTTTTCTGTGGAAGTCTAAAGCGTTGATAAGAAGAAAAAGTAACGTTGACATTCAATTCAACTTCTCAGTGTCGACAAAAGCGCTGCACCAAAAGAACTGTGGTTGCAGGACCTTCGGTTACAGTTTCGGCAAAAGCATTTGTGATTTATAGACAAATTTCAACAGTTAGGTGACAGGCAAGGGGATGGGAGGAGGACGAGTGATACAGAGTGAAAATCCATAGTTTTGTATACTTTCACCTACAGTAATTGGATGATGCTTTTGTTCTGCAGCATTATCTACAAAAAAACAAAAAATTATCATGTACCTGCCAATAAGCCTTTAAAAATATTCAAACAATTTTAAAGTTTTTATGCTGATTCTATATGTATTTTTTCTTTCTTTACGTGACACCTGATTGCAACTAAGGAACAATGGCGAAATGGTTAATAACAATTTTAAAGCATTTTTTTTTCTCATAATGGAGAAGATCTGCAGTTCTGTTGGTGAATTAATGCATTACAGAAATAATTGGAAAGAACATAATGTCGTACTGGAATTGCTACGACATTATCTTGGTTTTTTATACAGTAAATAGTAAGAATGAACCGAGCACGGAATGTATCTTTTTGGTATAGAAACTTTAATATGTTTCAAAAAAAGCAACGGTACTCTAAGCTACAAAGCATTGTACTGTTCTAATGAGAAACGATTTGGCTATAAAACTTTTTTGATTTAATTTTTTTTTTTGGCATTTTCGAGTTTCCTTTGTTGCTGTAAATTCTTTTTTTCAGTCGTTCTTTCGATTTGAAAAAACTTCAGTATTTTACATCATTATTATCAAGCAGCTCAAATAGGATGACGGTAAGATATGAGAATTTTTTGCTAAGAGCAGCTTTTTATGATACATGAGACCAAAAAAAAAAATGTCATCAGCTTATTTTTATAGTCGGTTGGTATTTTAATATTGCTGAATGACTGGGACAGGCGATATAAGGTCAGGTAGTATAAAAGATATATATCAGTTACCTTTTTTATTTTATGGCAATTGTACTGCGTAAAAGTTTTGCTGTTTTCAAAGCATCGAACGCTTCAAGTAAGTAAATCTTTAGAAAATTTTTCTAATTGACAATGTAAAGTGTTTTGCTCTCTGGATTTTTTCAATTTTTCTTTCTACTAATGAAGTTTTGGTGCTAATATAATTTTTGTTGCTCATCTCGTGAGTTTCACTTTCAATACTACTTCATTAATACATGAACTGTCAACACAAATAACACAGCATGATTCATAACTAGTCGGCTATTAAGCTTCTCTTCCCAGTGCACTAACAACTAGCCATTTTTCTTGAACTGCAGAGCTTTTGAACAAATTTCTTCGAAGTGCGTAACGTATATTTGTCTTCTTCACTTATCAAATTTTTAATATTTTTAGTATATAATATATAACATTTATTTCTGCAGATTTGCTAGCACTTATTTTCAGTAAAAAATCTGCAAAAAAAATGTTACAAAAGAAAACAAAGTACTGCTTTGAAGGTAAAAATTAAAGTGGTTTTTTTAAAAAATTGAGTGGAAAATAGCTTTTGAAAATTTTAAAATAAATAAATTTTTTAGCTACGCACTTGATTATCTGCAAGTATTTCGGGAACTCGTCTGAAACCGTCTTTTACAGCATACTTTTTTTTTTCAAAAATTTTTCAAACGAATTTATCACTGGAAGTTACCTTATATAATTCTTAACTCATTAATAAACGGCAACTTTTATTTAGTATAAATTCAGGAACAAAAAGTCTTTTATTTTTGACCCTCAAACAGATTCTACAATGTATTTATTTCACAGTGCTGGACATCAGCAAATAATCACCAATATCCTTTAGAAAAAAATCGTTTTTTACTATTGTAACCCTAAAAAACCCAGGTTGAATAGAAACATAAATTTAATCTTTCTCACCAAAAAATGCAAACTAATCTGCAGTAGACCTTTTTAACCAAAACGGCTTTACACTGAGATGATATCAGTTGAGTGAACCAAACTTGAAGGTTTAAGTATACCAAAATTATAACTTACTAAGGTAAAATATGAACTATGTAAGTGAGTAATATTAAACTGAAACAACGTGTCTTTGCTTATAATGAAAATTGCTTATAAAACCACAAATGTTAACCGGTTTAACTTTGCCATATAAAACAAACTTAAAAGAAAGTTTGAAGTCAGATTTCATCTTTGACTCTTTTAATCTTTTATGGCATGAGATCAGAACAAGGTACTTCTACAAATGTAAATTGAACATGACGAACAAACGTGCAATATCTAGTATAGTTTGTTGTTTTCTACACTTTGAGACCAAGTCGAGGGGGAAGCAAGGAACGTTCTTTAAGCACTATCGTCTTTTTTACCAAAATGCTTAAAGGAAACGTTCTGTTGAGCTGGCAAACAGAGATGGATGAATAAGGCGAATAATAAGATCTTATCTAATAATTGCTCAGAGTTAATGAAAGAAAGCGTATGAGAATTCAGGTCCAGTTGTGGCTGGAGTGGTTGGAGCAATAATGCCACGATATTGTATCTTTGGGGACAGCATGACAGTGACGTCCAAGTTAGAAAGCAGCGGAAAAGGTCTGAACAAGTTTGTTGTACTTAAACTAAAATAAGTTACTATAAAAACAAAACTTACAGGCAATTATATTCAAAAACTTTTTTCTCACTTAATGCTGCCGACACACATGTTGGGATCCTATGTAGCACTTAAGCATTGTACATCTCACTGAAATTTTTTCAGCAAATAATATTCACATATCATCAGCCACTTATGACTTACTGAACAATCAAATCGGTGGTTATGTGATCGAAAAACGTGGAGAAGTCCTCTTAAAGGCAAGTTAAACGTATAAAAAAGCAACTAACTAATTTAACAATGTTAAGAGTTGCTTTTTTCTCTGCCACTGGTTTATTACGTTTCTATATTCAGGCTTAGTAGAGAAACTTCTGATAATAGTTGCTAAGGTTTAGAAAGTGGGAGTAATGGAAACATACTGGTTGCTTGGCCATACTTCATCTCCACAAGAGGAACTACTGCAACATCTTACAAAAACAATGTATCAGGCCTACAAAAAATGACAACAAATTTTGCTGCTCTCAAAACTATTATAAAAATAAGACAGTAAACAGTTTTTGTAGCTACTTTAAGCTCAATTTTGTTGCTAATTCTATTTTTTGTGTTATACTTTGTAATTTTGTACACTGCACTATGTAGTTTGAGCATTACAATACTTCTCTACGAACATTGATAAGTGATGCATTCCTTTGTTGATTTAATTTTCTCATATAAAACTTTTAGTCCACAAATCTTTATTGTCTATATTTTATGAGTCTATTTTTAGAGTTGATAAACTTCACTCACTTGCCGTGTTACAGAACAATAAAGTTTTATTTGCAAACTGTAATTTACTCTTCTATTTTATCTAGAATATAAGAGTTCACAAGAATTCCAAAAGAACAGTTTATTTTTTTGAAAAAATCTAAAAATACATTTGAATTTATGAAAAATGCAAGGCAGTTTGCTTTTCAAACTCAAAACTTAGTACAAAATGAGATCTTGAAGTGGCACGAGGAAACACTGTAATAAAATTCCTATGTAAAATTATCAAAATAATTTTTGGTAGCTAAAAATTATTCGTCTTGTAAGTAGTAAAAGATAGTATGAACTGGAAAGCTGTTGAAAATTTGCGCTTAAAAAAGCTTCCATGTTTTTTGAAAAACATATAGAATTTATTGACAAGACTTGACTGTTTGGAACCAACAGTTATCCCAAACAGATCTCTTAGCAACAGATAAAGCTACAAGTAGCGTACTGAAATAATGATGAATTAAATGATGAGAAATAAAAAATTCTTACCCAAAAGATGACTCTTTAGATATGTATTTCGCGATTAACTATCAAATGTTTGCTACATCGTGTGTCCAAACTGTAATAATTATATAAGATTGCACTAAATTTACCCGTCTCGAAAAAAGATCAATTCTTCATATAACTGTGTCTGATAAGCACAAGTTAGAAGTTAAATTTAAAGTGGTTTGAGTTTTTAATAAAACTTTGTAGAAAAATGCGGAGTGGCTTTGCTTGACGATATTACAGTAGAAGTGGAAAAATAGTTGTTTTGTTTGTAAGAACAATCGAAAACGGAACGTTTTTTGGTAGTTCCAATCGCTGTGTATATAAACGTAATTAGCTTACAGAGCTTGAGCACATTCTTAATTCAAACAAAAAGTTGATTTTTTAGAGCGTAAATTTGTTTCACTAATTTAAGTTGCTAATTTAAAAATTAAACTTTCTTTTTCACTTTGGGTATCTTACAAACTCGACTAATAAATTTTACCACATTTGCTAAAAAAGTGTCGCTTAGAAAAGTACTAAGGAAAGTACTAAAAAAATAATATTTACTACCGTTTTTCTGTTACCGACAGATCTATCGCACAAAGACTTGAAAGTCTAGTTTGTATTTATTAATAAAAGTTTTGTTTTTTTTTGTCCTTATTTGGATTAGAAGTGTGTCTAAAATAATTGCGAGAACAAAAGTTACTAACAATTGTCGTGTATGTGATTGTTTAATTACATAGTTTATTGTTAATGACCTATACATTACCAAATTTCACAGTCAATAATCGATTGGTGTTATAACATATTTTCAAATCTAGATCTACCTCATAAAGTAAGGCATAAAGAGAGGTAAGATGTTGCTTAAGATGATCTTTCTGCCACAAATTTTTGCCATTACATCACCAAAAATTTTTATTCAATAGAGATTGAATAAGAAAGAATTTTTTCTGGAAGAATTTTATCATATTCAACAGAATTAAAACAGCACCAATACTTTTTTTTTAATTTATAAAATTTAGAAAAAAATTTATGGCTTCACTAAAGTGAAATAACCCTTCCCCTCTTCTATGGGCGTCACTGATTCAAATTAAACTGATGAAGGTGCCATACGCGACTCTGTTTGTTAACTGCTTCTTAACTGCAGCCCTGGTAAGATTTACATTTGTATCTCTCATTATAAGTCAAAATTCGTATAGGCGCCAATTTTTGAATACATTGATACAACATTGGGTTGTAACTTAGCCGCTTATACGTTGTCTGCATGAAAAGAACCACCTTACTAGCGTTTTATAAATCCCTATCAAAGAGTAAAACAAAATTTTTGTTAGCAAAATTTTATCACTTCAAATGCACCAAAAACTTGACTGTTTTAATTGCAAAATCAAAGTTTTAATACTTTATGCATCTTCAACCTTTCTCTCTTCATATTTTCTATATTTGTCATGTAGACTTGAATGAACAAAATTCGGGAAAGATCAAAAAGATCAGGCATTGATCAATGGCGGGGGAAATTTAAAGCACAGGTCTAAATTATCCTAAAATTCTGTTAAACCTGAAACGCTTCTCTAAACTGATCAGCAATTTTCCGACTTTTGACTTGAGAAAATCATTTGTTATACTTTACAGTTGCTTATCTTTCATCAAGAATCAACAAAAGGTTTACAAAAAAAAAAAGAAAAAAGAAATTTTCGCTTAAAAAATGCGCATAATACTTTAACGTCACTGGTTAAATTGATGAACGATTGATTATTTCTAGTGTAGACCTCACAGTAGGCACTGAAAAATTAAAGCAAAAAATTAAGAAAAAGTTTGAGAATTCAAAGTTGTACAAAATTTTACTTACTACTTTTATTTTCTCATCTTTAACACATTTAGATCGCTTTTTTTCTGAACAGCTCTATCTCAGTGTGTTTGAAAGTGTCCAACTGTTATGGGTTATCATTTTAAAAACTGCAGTAACATAAGCTTAGTCAAATTATATTTGGCTTTGATCAATGTGTTAAGTTGCTGCAGTTTATTAGCATGAAATTTCACGACATCATTGCTTAATCAAATGCAGCATGCATTTTTTATTTATATCGTGATTTTTTACATCGTATACAATTCTATCCCTCATGTTTTTCAATTGTAATATCGGTTGAAGGTCTTTTCAACATTCTTCATGTGTGGAATTATATGCAGAAACCCATAAAAAGAAGCTAAATTTTTAGTAAAATTTTTTTAATGTTCTTTACTTATGTCTGCTCTTCAAAACTTGTTTGTTCAATGTTTTCTGCTCAATTTTAAATGAAACTGATTTTAAAGCCGTTGTAGCTGAAGCCTAACTTAAATTTTTTTTTGAAAAAGAAGCCATAAAATTGCAAAACCACATATCTCAAAGCAAACAAATATACGATTTGACGCTGAATCGTTAACGGTTTACTAATCCTCGCTAATAGCTGAGTTCCTAACATCAACTGGTAGAGTAATCTGCTGACATAAAAAAAATTGCATTTTAAAAGCTTTTAAGGTACAAAAAAGCGTCGAATTGCCAAATTTATATAGTTCAAACAGTTCCCTAATTCAGTAGAGCTTTCTTGGCCTCAAAACTACCTCAAGGAGTTTTGAAGTTTACTCGCATTCATCATTCTCCTTGACTCTTCTCAGTCCCACTGTGAACAAGTGGCATTTCCAACCTAAATTTTGCGAGAAAAAAGATTTTAGTGAATTGTTTGAGGATGTCTCTCTCTAAAATTATGTTACGGGTCGAGCAAGCAATTTTGCCAATTCATATAGATGTTCACTTCCAATATAGTCGCGGCGTTCCCTTCTTCTCCTTCTCAACCGTAGCAATGCTTTTTAACTCAACAGCTCGAATGGTTCTATCAAAAGCTCTGCAAGATATAGTTTCTTCACCTGTTTAGATGATTTTTTGGAATACCTACTGCAGGACTATAGGCATGTTGTTAGCAAGTGACGAAGACAAGATGTATTAAAAATTAGAAATAGAGCTGGAGAGGCACCTCAACAGACCAGACAACTGCTAGATTCTTTGGCACTCGAACAATCTAGAAACCTTCATAGAGTTAAAATTTTTTTGTAATTTTTACTTGTTTGTACAGTTTTGTCATTTTTGCTCAAGAGCATATTAATTTTTAAAAATTGCAACGTTTGTAAAAATTTTACCTTGTTATATCTAGATAATGAAAATTTTGTCATAATTTTTGCTTCGCACTATGCTAATCCGCCCTTGGGATGATTTTTTTTATCTATGTGTTAGCGGAGATAGTTGTTCTCTGGGAATTTTTCTTCTGTCTTTCTATCTTTTTATTTGTTGCAGAAGGCGATGATAAAACACGGTTTACCCCCATTTAATAATACTATAATTTTAAAATTTAATCTTACAGATTCTGATAGAGGCTTTTTCCAAATTGTTATATTTGTCTGCTAATGTTTGACGTATTTAGCACAGCTTCATTCTCAGGTTTTTCGCCATTTTTTATAGGGTAGGTAGATCCCTGTGTTTTGCTCTCTTCACCTCAAACCTCTCTTTTAAGTAAACTGTGTTGTTTTTGAAACATCTTTATCTGTCTTTTTTCATGATTGAAAAAGGTTTTACAAAGTGTAGCTCTGTGCGAGCCTTGAGAGAGTTTATTTACCTATATTTCCAACAAAACATTTTCTAGCATCAAATATATTAAGTGTCTTGAGGTGAAGTTACATTAGGTGCAACAATAATGCGTAACCGTATCTCGTATGTATTTAATCGCACAATACCTAGTAAAATGCATAATATCCGACAGACAACAACTTAGTTAGGTATTACAAAACTTTAAAACATTCAAAATAAATACGTTTAGGAATCTTCACCGAAGTTAGTTTTTTGCCAGACAAACTCTGCTTAAAAACCGGTTTTTAAATGTGCTTCAAAAAAAGTCTGGCTCTAAAAAAATAAGAGTACGAAAAAGCTTCTGACCTAAAAATAATAGTTTAGCAAAGCTATACTAAAGTTCCTGATTTTGCAAGAGGTTCACTGTTTATTTTTCTAAATTGCTCTGTCACTGATAAACAGGCGTAAAAGTTTCGAAGTAATGTGGGAAAAAACTTTGACTTTTTAAGAATGAAAAAACGGCCAACACTCTGAAAATAGCAATCGTTTTTGAATGGCTAACAGCGATCTGAAGTTTCGAAGTAGCTGCCAGGACAAGCTAGCACTGACAGTGTTTACTCAAAATAAACTGTTTTTGACTGGTAATTATTTAAGTACGAGCAACTTTGAACAGCAGAACGAGCGCGCAGCGAATAGATGAAAAATAATATACTGCAGTTGGATAATGAAATTGACAGTTAAAGTATGTTGAATACAGACGAAGTACTGCATACTGCCATATATTAAGAGTAAAGTAATTAGCTAGTTGATGATGTAAATAGGCTTAGGAAAACACAAAACGATGCTTTTCATAAACAAAGACTGCTAGAACAAATCTTTACTTCTAAATCGTAAAACAAAAAAAAAAGCTCAAGTCTTATGACAAACTCTCTCAAATAAATAAGTTTCCAAAAAAACTTTTTTGAAAATTCTGTGTTTAATATTCAGCAAACAGTTCACTTAAAATAACGCTTACCAGTACGAATCGCAATAAGAAGAGTTATAAATGCTGTGAAATTTTTTTTGCGAATTTTTACTTTATTATCTATTAAATAGTAATTATTTTTTGTCACTTAAATTTCACTCATTTCGTCAACTTTCTGCCTTCTCTGAACGTTTTTCAGTCTTTGTTTTGTAAGAAACTTTAAAAAATGTTAAATGTTTTTTTTTGGCTTTTTTTCTTTCTAAAAAAAGAAAAATTTTGTCACTTTTTTCGCTTTTCTAGCATCTATTTTTAAGTAAAATAGCATTTTTGTTTTTTACTATTTGTACATTTAAAAGATGCTTAATTTAATCAGAAATTAAGAAACGACTTTCTGACCTTCATTTAAGTTTTTTGCTATTTGTGTCCTTATACTTTCCAACTTTTTAACAGGTTTAGATGATCAATTTACTTTTTAGGGTGGTACAAAATTGCTTTGCAATTTTGAATGTACAGATCACTTTTAATGTACAGATCTAAAAAAATTATTATTTTTTGCCGTTAGGTCAAATAAATAACAATTTCTATCGTTAATGAGAAGTAGTTGAGAAAAGTTACAAAAAAGAATTTTCTTTTTACACAGATTTTGTGCACGACGTGAAAAGTTTTAAAAATCACATGTTATTTCTTTTATAAATTTTTGAAGTAGTGTTAAATAAAATTTTTCCAGCTTTAACTAAGAAATAGAAAGAAGTTAGCAGAAATTCTTCTGTACTTATTGGTTGACAATGACAATTCAATAATTTATGAGTAGTTTTTGAACATTCAATTAAGTAAGAAACAAGTTTTCACATCAAAAAGCATAGAATTTTCTCGAACTGACGTTTTCGATCGCACATTTAAAAATGAGAAAAATTTGAATGTTTACAAGAATAAAAGTTTTTCAAGTACCAAACATTGTAAAATTTGGTGCTTGATGCTGTAAAAAGATAACGCTTTTACACTTCTGCGCCTTTTTCACAAATTCAATTTTACTATGCTCAATTCTATCAGTGAAAGTCGTTTGCAAACTTGAAATTCAGATAAGTAAATCCTTCACTGTGAGAAGCGATTATTGAAGATTATCGACGAACCGCAGTCTTTTGAAACGAAAAACCACAACTTAAGAAATTGAATAAAAATAGCAGCTAGAACGTAAGCGAGTAATTGCGAGATGAGGAAATACGTTTAGTAAGGCAGTAAATTGAGGCACGTTGGCTGTTTGATTGAAGGTGCAACTTACGTATCATTCGGAAATAACTTTAACCAAACGGAATGCCTTGCATCCTAAGACAAGTGAGGCTTCTAAAAAATCACATGATTTACTTACTACATGATACAAATAAACCGTTTTACATGTTTGATTTTTTCAGCCTCTGTTTTCATCTTTAGCTCCAAAAAATTTTTTTAAGTTTGTAGCGATTTATGCAACATTAACTTTAGAAGCTTTAAAAACATTTTTTTATTAGTTTTTTCTTTGCAGAGTTATGAAATTCGACTTGGGTTTATATTTCCATTTGGCCCCCATTTCGCTGCGGATTTTGGTTATTCTCGAAGTGTTGGAGCTGCAGGCTTAGCGCTAGACCGCATTGCACAACTTCGTTTGTTACCAGGAGCTGTGTGGAAGTAGGAACTGCATTAACTAAACCAAATAAACTTTTGTTATAAAATTCGGTTAATGGAATTTTTTTAACTAAATTTATGCATGTTCTACATTTATACTTTACGCAGTACTGTCATACGAAGTAATTTTACTTAAGCGGACCATTCCTAGTAATACTGAACACTTTTTAACCACACATTTTATGCTGTACCTAATTTTGCAATATCAGTTTACTTCCACTGCCAAGATTTCATTATTTGTGCAGAAACAGAGCTGAAAAAAAAAATCCGAATTGAATACATGAAGTCAGTATGTGTAACGACGCAGATAAAGTTTGTTTCTACACTTGAGTTACGGCAATGTGAATTCGGAAATTGTTCTGCCGCTGAGTTAATTGATTTTTTTTATTTTATATTTATATTTATATTTATAGTTACATATTTGTAAAACACGCTTATATAAGTTTATGACTCATTCCACAATAGTTCGCAGAATTTTTTGTTTTGTATTTTAAAAAAATTTTCTTTTGAGGAGGGGGGTTACACAGATTAGCGGGGTCCTGACCTCCATTTAAGAAAGTAAAAAAAAAATTTTGTTAGCTGTTGAAGATGTTTCTCTTCTTCTCTCCAAAACATTTTCCCGTAGAGTTGGAATTCATCTGACTTTACTTCTTTTTGCATTCTTGTGATCTTTTTTTGCAAGATTAATTTTTCGTTTAGGTCAATCATTGGCACTTTAAAACAAAACTTATAACTGGATATTATAAAACTGTGGTAGTTAATAAAGCCGGTTAAAAACGTTTGACTATGCTCACTTGCTGATTATGCTGAGCTACCATTACTACCAGCAGTCAGCTTCCTCCGCCTCTTGTTTATTATCTGTCAAACGTGAGCAACGGCTACATATTTAACTCCATTTAAGGAGTTCAAAAGCTTGATGCTTCAGCTATTTAGATGCAGAAAGCAAACTTTTTCTGAATTTGTTGTGATCTGTTTATTTTAAGAAATATATTAAAAAATTTTAAATAGAAATTTTAATTCAAAATTACATTCAATTCAATAACTACAAAGATGACAGAATAGCTTTTCTAAATATTTCAAAAAAATAAGAAATTTCTTTCTTCAAACATAGCTGCTATTAATTTTGCCACTGCAAAATCTACGCGATCACTGTAAAATGGAAGATTTTCGTGGAAGTAGTTTTGCTTTTTAGTACTTGTCTTCCAACCAAGTTTTACAAACATGATGAAAATTAAGAAATTTTATGAAAAAAATTATCACTTTATCAGGAAGCTTATAAAAACGTTTTTGCTGTAATTTTTTATACTTTCACTTTTATTTTATTTACTAATTATTTAAGAAAATCAAAAGATATAATATGATACATAGTATACAATAATGAAAAGAACAGAGGTATAAAGTAAAGAATAATAAAAAATTTAATAAATTAAAAAACTGATAAATTTTATCGAATTTTATTTACACACTAATAACGCAGTTTATAAATTAACTTTGTTTTTTAAAAATTATTCGCAGCATTTCAATCTTTATGGCTGAATGCGACATTGCGCGAGCTTTGCTGTCAGCTGTTGAATTGACTCGAATTGTCCATGTTCACGCCATATTTGGTCCTTCCTGTATACTCTGTATGTGCTTTACATTTTTTATGTCCCATTGCTGCTGTTTCTGCATTGACGTCGTTTTTTCAAAAAATTAGAGGTTCTTAAAGAGCATTTCTTAGTAAGTTTTACAAGTTTTTCAGTACTGCATGATAAGGCAGCATTTTTCCTGACTATAAACTTACTAGTTTTATAATTCTTAAACAATGCTTTTCAAAACCAGAGGACTAGTATTTCTAATTTATTTCTTTCTGCCAGAAAATCTGAGCAATATTTCTTCAGCTGCGAGAGCTGTTGGTATTTTTGGAGGTAGCCTCGATTTACCAATTATACTTTGGGGAATGACCACTAGTATAGAATTCAAGGACGATAGCCGCTATCCAACTACAGTTTCTGCTGTTGGAAACTCTGAACGTACATTTAAAAGAAATTTTTTTACTATAATTCTACTAGTGGTTTACACCATGCGGAAGAAATAGTGATTGTTTTTGTACAACTTATTATTACTAATCTAGTGTTTCTTTCATTTCGTACTATAAAAAAATCTGTTTAGAAGCACCTGCATTTATTTGATTTAAGACTTGGCCATCGCTATGAATTATGTAGTTGAAGAATACGGGTGGACGAACCTTGCTACAATTTTTGGTGATGACGAATTAGCGAAATGCCTAACTCTTCTAACGGATATGGAAGTCAGCTGCTAAAATTATCTTATGGAATGTGGTAGTTTCTTGGAAATGCGTGGCAATAAATCGTTCAAATAGCTACTTTTCAAAATTTTTTCGAAACTGTTAAATAAACAGGCATTATTTTATTTTTCGTTCAAATATTTAGAAGTTCAGTCAACGTAAAGTTTGTGAGAAGTTTTGAGAGAAGTATTTGAACTAGGTTTAATTTTTTGCGGTTTCGGATGAGTAGTCATATAGTGGGAATTGGTTGGCAGCTACAGAAATCTTGAACTTTTAGTGTATTTTGTCTGCTTGAAGCTGCAGTTATAATTTTGAGACAGAACAGATTTTCCGTAAAGATAAAAGAAAAGTATTCTGCACAGTAAAAATAGCTCTTACAGAATGTGTGCTAAAAAAAACATAGCTTTTTGCAATAACGCCCAATATTCATTTTCTAAACTTCTGGTCAGTCGAGTAGCTTTAACGCTTGATAAGGAAAGTAAAAAGGAATATACAACTTATTTTTGAACTGCTATTATACATATTAATAATATCGAGTTTTCTCTCGAGGCTCTACCTTTTTATAATTTATAGCTTTTTTTTAATCTGTAACGCAGCTTTTCATTACAATTTGAAATCTTTAATTGTGTAGTGCACTGCCCTTTCACTGCCCTTTAAGTCTTGAAAACTCCCTATTTGCAAACTTGCAGAAGGGTGATGATTGTATTCTATAAAAATGCTAAGAACAAAATACCTCTTCAAACGTGTCAGAAACAAGTAGATTTTAGTTGAGATTTGGTGCTGTGTAAAATGTGGAAACTAAACAGTGCAATCTTGACAGATTAGCACATCATCGAAGTGTAAGTGAAATGAGACGACCAAAGTTCATGTGCAATTACCATGTTTCATACGTTTTGCTGTACAGACCTTGTTCTTCCATTCCCTATTAGTAGAAGAAAAAAGAGGGAAATCTGCAGAACTTAAGCAACATGCAGCATTGTTATCTATAAAATTCCCTTTTAATTTAAGTAAAGTTAATCAGTAACTTCATTCGCTGTTTCACAATTTTTAGCTAATCTGATCATTTATTTGACAAGGTAAATGACATGTTATACGAATATCTTAATCAACTCTTTCTTCAAGATAAATAGATATGATAAAAAGCGAAGTTGCGTGAGAAACATTTTGCGGTTGTGCAGAAATTTTTGACGTAAACTGCTAGTTCCACTTTTTTTTGTATAACAACTTTCAATGTTTACATTTAAGAAACTTCCGTGCTTTGAAATGTAATAAAAGTTGCCGCAAAAATATCATTTTCAGGCTTGGCAAAGCACTAATATAGCAGCCACTAAAGTAGCATATCGAGAACGAGTTCCAGTTCCTATCGAAGATAATATTGTTCCGGCACTGAGAAGAGCTTCAAAGTATTCTCGAAGTACGTTCATTGAAGTAAAACCAATGTCTATTTTTTTTTCTAAAAAATAGGCAGTTTTGGGTGCTATTCTTCTTCGCCGAGAGTTCTGACATTTATTTTTATCTCAAAATGACTAGATGACTTTACTCTCAAAATGGCAGAATTTCGCGCTCTAGTACTTTTTATACCGTTAGATGTCTTTTTATACCGTTAGATGTATCGTTAGATGTTATTTGAAAAATAGAAAGAGAAAAAGCGAGATGAAAACAGTTCTCTTTTTTTGATTTGACAAATACAGATGGAAGGTGAACCACACAGTCATCTGGTAAAAATGATCAATTTTTCAAATAGGACAGACAAGTGACCGTAATTAGTTAAACTTTGTGCGCGCAGTGGTCACCCGCGCTCACTAAACCGTGTTGATTAAAAGACCTGCAACCGCGCTTTTCTATTTATCGCTTTGTGAAATCAATGACAAAAAATAAATAAATAATCAGTCTTTGAAATTAGGCTTGCAAATGCTATTTTCAAAAGCCTTTCCTTTATGAAACCGCAGCGCAGAGAAAGCAAGTAACAGACGAGTAACAGATGTTTTACACTGAAGCCGCTTTCGATGAGGTTATTTTTTGCCACTTTCAAACCTTTTGACTGACTAAGACAAATACCTAATCAGGTTGCGAGTTGAATTTTGTTTTAAAAGACAGTGGAAAGAAAACTGTAAATTTACTTCGTTTTTCTCATCAAAACTAACTATACAGAATTTATGAGCAAAAACTTAGTGGGTTAACATTACAATCAAACCATAAAATCAAAATAAGAAAAAGAAGTGGTAAAATTGAAGAATTTTTTTGGCTTGTCAAAGCCAATATTTGATTTATGCATTGTGTTTCTTCATACTTGAAATCAGTCGAAATTTACCCGAACCAACTTAACCATGTCTCCATCAAATTGCCCCGTATTTGCATAAAGTTAAATCTGCGTAAGTGTTTCTTAATAATAATAAGTTTGCAGTTACAAAAGTAGCTTTATCAAACAGATTTATATTAACCTTTAACTGATGTCATACGAATTCTACAGAACAGCTCAATAACATTTATTCGTAGTTTCTTAGTATCTTATTTTGTATTTTTTTGCCTCTTAGATTTTTTCGATTTATTGCCTGTGCTTTCTGTATTTTAAATTTGAAGAACCATGTTTATTGTTTACATTGTATTGTCTAAATGCAACTAGTGATGACATATTTTCTCATTCCTTTTAATATGTAAAACCACTTGGCTTTTTATCATTCAAAGTTCTCAGATTGATTCTGCTCCAGCTTAGGTAAAATTTTTTCTGGAAGAAGCTTTATTTTCTTCTTATCAAGTGCTTTTGTTACCAACAGTTGCTCAAGTACTGTATCAACGCTACCTTTTCTTGCAAAAAACTGCTTTCTTTTGTTTTATAAATCTTTCTGAATATTTCCCTTTTTTTGTGAAATGAAGACCAGTTGCGGTAAAGTCTCAATGAGCATTTAACATAAAATAACCAAGAGTGGTACTCAATTAACAAATAAATTTTTCGAGCATTTTAAACGCAAATTTCATTTAACCACTTTATTCTTCCAATCCATCTCTAGACAAGTGCCATTCCTTTTTACAGTCTTGAAATGACATTTTTTTGCGCGCAAAAGTATACGAACTATTCGCTAGCTTGACTTTAAGCTTCTGGTGACGTAAACGCTTTTAAAAATACAAAAAAAACGTATAATTTGATTTCTGGCAAAAAAAGCAATTTATCTTGCATTGCTTATTCATACGACAGCCTTTTTGGATTGCGAACAGAAGCCCCGCTTAACGTAAACCAGCCTTCAGCAGCTCACTTATAGGAAAGCTGTCTAAGCGGAAGGGACTTTCAACACTACACTAACCAACGTTTTTAAGGAATCTTTTATACTAGTATCGCAACTGCAAGCCTGCAAAAATCACATTTCCAGAAATCATAAAAGTTAGTTTCAGACCTACCAGGCGAGCGGTCTGCCCAGAAAAGTCATGTCAAAATTTCTTCTTTACAATTTTTAGCTAGTAGCACACTGCATTTGATTAAATAAGCAGACTGCAGCTCCTAGTCTGAGAAAGCGCTAGATTTTTAATAAAGTTCTCAATGACGTTACCGGAGAGTAACAGTAGTGTAAAAAGCATCTTCACTTGTTGACATGTAAATATCAAAACAGTAGACTTTTTTCCAGATGTCAATTTTTATAATTATACACATCATATATATTTATAAATTTATTAATTTGTTTATCCATTTACAATATGTGTATATGTCAGAGTGAGGGTTTTTCAAGCGTTATTTTTAATTGTAAAAAAAGCATAAAACATACAAAGGCAAAGAACTCCAGATATATTTACTTCAACTCTTTAGGTTTGAAATGTATCGACCGCACTGTTTTTACGGCATTTACGAGGAACTTCAAAAAAAAAAATCTCCTGAACCTGGCCCGGTTTTGCCTCAATCACTGGAACCCCATAGAGCTTTACATTTTTCTTCAAACCTGAACTTCTCATTTTCTGTAAATCGATCAAAAATCTGGCAGAGTAACTGTGAAATCTTCAAAAAGAAAAAATGCAAAACTGCTTAATGAATGGTGCAGTGATCCAAGCTTTAGGTTAACCTCTGCCTTTGCTCGTGAACCCTATCGCGGCCAAGTGGTGCTTGATGCTTTTTAAAATTGAACGAAAGGAACTCAGTAAAATTAAATTATACAAGTTGCAAAGGTGGATTTTGTAAAGCACTCTGTCTTTGAGATTCAAGAGCTAAATTTACGGCATGTATTCTGCACTGCCAAATTTGGGTATAAAAAAATCCGCAGTGATCTAGTGTTGTGATTTTGCTGTCATTGCTTCCTAGTCAGCGAAAGAAAATGGGACTTTTGTAAAACAATGAATTATGTAAAGTTGCAATTTTCCAACTCAGTTTTATAGTTTTCTGCCTTTGCTTCCACGAAGATGAAGCGAAGCGAGCAGTTTTATTGGCTGGAAAGCAGCTAGGCATGGACAACAAAGAATATGTCTTTTTCTTCTTTGAGAATCAAAATCTTGGTTTCGGTAGGTTCCCATTTATTAGTAATTATTTGAAACATTTTGATCTTAAAACTTGAATAAGTCCAGATTATTTTTGAATTTTGTACTTTTTACGTTATCAATTTTAAGTTACTTAACTATTCAAATAAATTTTAAGGTACTCGTAAATATGGCCCTTCGTACTACTTTTTCCGAGACACTAGAACCAGGGCGGACGGGAAGGACGCAGAAGCTTTCGAAATGGCCAAATATTCTTTTATTGTTAGATTTATCTATAATAAACTGTTATCCGCCTTAAATTTACATGCGCTTCGACCTTTTATTTTGACATCATAATTGGACAGAAGTTGCTTCAAACTCTTTCGTTTTTAATAGGCTTAATTTTCGTTTAAAAAAAGCAGTTTTTGACACTCTTGTTGATTGGCGATCCCAGCGCGCTGATTGGCTAACTAGTGTCTGGCAAGAAAGTCGAGGAAGGAGACAGTGAAGGGGAGAGCAGCAAACGGAGAGAGGATGACAACAAAGAGTAGGGGACGACAGCGGCGGCGCAGCAAGGCCTC